GGGTGCCGGAAAATTTCCCTTATTTTCAAATCCAAAACTTGACAGGTATGACTCATGCACCAGTCACTCACACATGCCCACCTATGGGAAACCAGAGTATCCGGAGGAAACCCCACAATGACACGTAGAGAAGACGCAAACTCCACACACAGAATCATGGCAGTGACTCGGACCCTGGTCCCAGCAGTGTCAGGCAACAGTGCTAATTACTACACCACCCTACTTTTAATGTTACAGTATAATCAGTATTGTTATTATGGATTGTTTCATTGGTTTGGCCTGCTTATGTACTGTATTGTTTTTCCAACTTACCTACATATTGAACTGAAAGACAGACTTAGGGAACAGATCTCATTCAACCTAGGGACTGCCTGTAAAGAATATTGACAGCAAACAAACAAGTTCTTCCTTGGGCAGATGTCAGTTGTATTTGCCTATCAGTCATTTCCTTTTGGATGTACAGGGACATCTTTAGCTTCTATAACTACGTCATCTTCACATCCTTTACGCAATCAACTGATACATTAGCTTGAATGTTGATGAGACATAGACAGATAGCAGTTCTAAACAGTTGTTTAGTGTTGTATGTCCTTAGTTTAAGGAAAACACACAAAGTATGTTGACTGCTTTTGTTTGGCTGAGGGGCCAGTCTCCGAAACCGGATAGTCATACCCAGAGGTAGCCATAAAGACTGGAACGTTATGCTATACGTGTTTGAGGTCTGCTGGGGTTTTGAACATCTTCTACTCCAGTTTCATTTTACTGTGATGTGTCACTATTGTTTATTTTCCTTCAGCTTTATTTTAAAGGGGGATAAAATGGTGGGTTTTTGTCCTGACACTGTGGCTAGATTGCCAAAAGAAGTCACATATTTAAAAGACAACACCCTGGCTATGAATCATATGAAACAAACAATGATGTCTAACTGCGGGGACATAAAAACCAGACTGCCATGCCCCCCCACTGCAGTCACGCGCCACACCAGGGAAAAGACACTTAAAGAACTTTGGAAATACCCAGGAAAAACCATTTGAAACCTATTCAGAAAGGCCATGTTGGTAAAGTTTGGTTTTACAAAAAAAAGCAAATACAGTAACAAACAAAGAATTTTGTATGGAAAAATTCCCTTTAATTCCAGTAAATATGAGAAATCAGATATGATTCAATCAGTCCAATTGAGTGTGACTGGTTCCAACAGTCACGCTCAACAGTGACTTTACCACATTTATCAATGGTAGTAAAACAAATGAACATTGACTCAAGAACATCCAATGTCCTCAGGGAAATATGTAGGATGCCTCTTGGACGGCTCCCTGGGGAGATGCTTCGGACATGTCCAACCAGGAGGAGGCCCCGGGGCAGACCCAGGACACGCTGGAGAGATCATACCTCTCGGCTGGCCTGGGAACGCCTTGGTATCCCCCGGAGGAGCTGAAGGAGGTGGCTGGTGAGAGGGAGGTCTGGGCATTTCTGCAGAGACTTCTGCCGCCGCGACCCGACCTCGGAAAAGCGGCGGATAATGGATGGATGGATGATACTTGACCATTTATTACCCATCCATCTTCTGCCTTGGAGCCCAGGGAACCTAGGGCAGGCTGGGGTAAGGGGAAAGGGTACAATCTGGGCAGTCCATCTGAAGGCTACAGTACATGTGCTACAGCAGCGTTTCGCAACCCAGTCCTGAAGGACCCCAGACAGTCCATGTTTTCATGCTTTAGGTCCTTCCCAGCTCCCAATAGGGAGCACGACTGTGGGCTGTCTGGCAGGGAGCTGGGAGGGAGGGGGGTCCCCAAGGACCGGGTTGGGAAACACTCTCTACTAGTAATTCAGGGACACTAACTGGCCTAACTGCATGTCTTTAGGCTATAGGGGGAAATCATATTCATAGGACGACGATACAAAGCCCACAACTCAAAGCAGAAATGAGATTCAAACCCTGCTAATACAGTGAGTGACTGTGCTCATTGTAAATGAGTCAAAAAACTAATTTGCATGGATAATAGAAGCCACTCCCTGCTGTTAATAGGTCAAATGAAACATAAAAACAGACAGGCCATGAGATAATACAACCACTGCAACAAACAATGACAAATTTAAAGCTAAAGCTGGCTAACTGGAAAGATAACTCAAAATGATTATTTCAGACACCCCCACCTTCTTTATGTTCGTGTAACTTTTCACTGGAGTGAGAAGGGAGGTCAGATCTCGGGTCAGTTTCATGTGTGACCATAAGTTCTGGCTATGAGGGTGATAAGAAGATCGGTGCTCAGGATTTAATGTAGAATTATAAAATCTGCTGCCCTGTCTTGTCCTTCATCCAGTTTGTACTCAAAGATATCAAGATACACATGTTAAAAACAATCCAAGACATTGTTACAATGCGTTCCCAAATAGCAACAAATGGCTTACAGCTTGAAGCATGTTTACACCAAAACACCTTCACCTAATGGGTCAAATAGTTTTCAAAGAGGATGTTTTCACTCATTTCATTGTCAGTCAGGCAGAGCTGTACTTCTCACTTCTCTTATTTTATAGTTACATTTCCGTAAGCATATATAAATGCCACAGCTCACACGACACAAGAAGAGCTTGATCGGAGACATAACATCTTTGCATCTACAAACAGTGGAGGGGAAGTGGACAGAAACCCAGTTGAGTTTGCAGTTGTTCCACAGTTAAATAGATAGATTTCCATTTTCTAGATTAACAGTCAAAATCTTAGAACAAAACATCAATTTACCTCATCAGTAAGTATTGGCGTGCTATGCTTCACTTATGCTTTCTTTCATTAAGGAGCTGCTGTAAGTAATTAATATAACAAAGCCGTTATTTTGCATGGTAAAATTAATTCTACATTAGAAAGAATAATTGAAACCGCACCTGTAAGTTGCCAGTGGTGGTCGTCTCCTTTGCATTACATAGAGTGCCGATATTAAAGAGGTAATGTGGCCTTACATATTTAAATCATTGGCCATTATATCAAATGTTATTAATGCTTGGCAACCCTGAAAATAAGCATAACCCAGGCCTTACTGTATGCATTCCATTTACAACAACATGTTTATCCTCATAAGTTCTTGATTTCCCAGTGAATATCAAGCAACATTGTTGTTAACGAAACAAACTAAAGGCAACTGGATTTAAATCAGCCATAATTTGCAGATTGCACTGTGACCTTAGAGGAGTGATGCTGTTGTACCTTAGAAACTGACATTTAAACTAAAGTCTTATGGGTATTTTAAAGATACAAATAACCACCAAAAGTGGGAACAAATGTCACAACTGCATTACAAACAAGGGGTTGTGACAGTTAGGGAAGAAAGCTGACTGGAATATGCAAGCTACAACATCACAAAACAGAATAATAATATGCAGAATAAGAAAAATAATATAAATTTCAACAGTAGCAGAGAGTATTGCTTCCTGCTATCTGTATTCTTTTTGCCATGTATAATCTAAGGAAATGCTGCTGCATTAAACCTTTAATTAATTTATAAATTAAATTTATTGCAGTTCCTGCCGTCATATAACCCATCCGGTGGGTCATGATATTAAAAAATGCAACATGCTGGAATAGAAAATAGAATAGAAAACAGAAAAAACACACAAAACTCATATTTTAGTTCATCTTCACAACTTTGGTGAGCAATCATTCTTTTATTGTGAAGAAACCGTTTATTATGATGGGAAACTCCATTCTAGGCTGCTGGATGCTAGTGGAGGCAGATCTTTTCTTGAACAGCAGTGTGAAGAAATGGAAGAGGAGCTTGGCAGTATTCTTCGTCATTAGTAGGGACACACAGCGTGCTGGTAGTAAACATTTGGGGTTACCATTTTGTGCTGTGTCTCTATGACTAATCACTGCTCTGGTCATAAACAAGAAATCAAATGACAGACTATATAACATTATTCAGACAGCTGTTTTAGTCCTTGCTGCAGTATGTAAGCAACTGCAATTCACATTGGCATCTAGTCTGAAAAGAGCAAGATAAGAATTGGGCAAGGAGCAGCATTATTGCCCATCACAAGACAATACTTCGCAACTCAAGCTACAGGAAAACTGAATACAACTCACTTTCCTAGCAGGCTAAAATGGTAAAACATGCAATTTGCTTTGGTAACTATCTTTCCTTGTGTTTTAGGTGCTGGAAGTCTGAACCCCGGGGTTCAGGGGACATGCATCTAAAAGAGGAAGGAATGAGCTGATGTTTGTCAGTCCACCTGCAGCTGTGACTAGGATTCTCTATTAGAGAACATTGTGTGCGTTATACCATAAACCACTGTCCATCAGATCTGTAGCAGCAATTCATTGCAAATAAGTTCTTTAGGAAACCGAAAATCAAACATACCGAAAAAAATTAATTTTGACCACACAGTACATACTATTCATACTATACATACATTAAGGATTATGCATGGATTCTCCAGTAGGTGGCACTCAAGAGCACACAGCGGTGCAAGTACTTGTAAAATGGGGTTCTCTTGCATGAAGTACAGCAGTAATGCTTTCTTAAAGGTCTGTGGCCTCTTTTCCCACCATTAGAATTGAACTGGAAGCACAGAGTCTTCCGATAAGAGAACATACAGAAAACATCCAGAGCAGCACCTGCAGTGCTGGACTGGCCATCTGGCATTTATCGTGGGGGGACCCCAAAGTCCAGGGCTGAGCAGCTGTGAGGCAGACATGACTGGCCGGGCCTCAGAACTCCTCAATCCGAGTTGTAGAAAACACAAACAAGAACGGAAATAGACACAGGTGCACTGAAATGGGTCAAAACAAGCTCAGGTTGTCAGAGACAAGGCATCAGGCAAAGTGCACTGGCTCTCAAGTGCCAATCCGTCACTCTCCGTCCTAAAAATAGAAATAAATATAACTGTAATGTAGGCTGTACTGTAAACTTCGTCATCAAATGTGTGTGCTGTCTGAAACACACTACTTTTCCGTACTTTATGGCCAAGTAAATGTTTACATAAATCTGCTTGAGGCAGTAGGTGCCAGAGATGGGATGAGGGGTTCAGACCCCTAGCCCACTGGGACTGAGATACATTTGTGTCATTAAACACTAGTTATTTAATTTAATATTAGACTCTGAGGTTAGGGATTAGGTTGGGTTTAAACTTATATTTTAAAGGTTAGGTTAGGTTGGATTTAGATGTAGAGGTTAAGGGTTAGGTTAGGTTTAGGCTTAGATTTATGGTT